AAATTTCGCAAGGCTATATTATCCGCATTTTACAACATTTCGCAACGAAACTTTGGAATATTACTAATTTTGTGATCCTCTTTCAAGCTGTGATGAAATTTTTGTCTAGATCAAAATTTAGTCTATAATGGGTCCATTGTGATTTCTTTCTCAACTGTGTTTATCCTAACCCACCCTGTCAACTTTCCCTGTGGGAGGAAACAGGAGCTCCCGGAGAAAACCCACGACTTTCGGCAGAGCGTTGACTGACTCTTTTCACGTGAATCCATAGCGAGAATCGAACCCACGATCTCTGAGGTGAAAGGCCCACCGAAGCCCCCAATGGACCTTTCCCCTTATAACTAGATCAGACTAAATTCTGATCTAGACAAAAATTTCATCACAGCTTGAAAGAGCATCACAAAATTAGTAATATTCCAAAGTTTCGTTGCAAAATGTTGTAAAATGCGGATAATATAGCCTTGCGAAATTTGCAATTTTCAGTCATTTTAGATTACAAACGGGAAATTGATGCCCCAACACCCGATTGGGCTGTCAATTTCCCGTGCGTAATACAAAATGACTGAAAAACGGCAAATTTCGCAAGGCCATATTATCCACATTTTACAACATTTCGCAACGAAACTTTGGAATATTACTAATTTTGTGATGCTCTTTCAAGCTGTGATGAAATTTTTGTCCAGATCAAAATTTAGTCTATAAGGGGAAAGGTCCATTCTTGAGTCGTCAAACCGATATCAGGATGTGTTCGCACTGCTTGTTCCCAGTTGTTGTGACAAGTCTGGAACAAGTTGTTATCATCTTGTTACAAGGTTGATGACAGTAACAGACTTGCTACAAGTTGTTCCAACAAGACTGATACAGGCTGTTCGTAACAAGTTGCTACGAGCTTGTTGTCATCAACTTGTTAACAACTTGTTACGTGCAGACGATATCAAACTTGTTGGAACAACTTGTTGCGAGTCTGTTACTTTCATCAACCTTGTTACAATTTGATAACAACTTGTCAATAACTGGGGAGAAGCAGTGCGCACACATTCTGTCGACAAGCTGTGATATTCCCAGTTGTTGACAAGTCTGGAACAAGTTGTTATCATCTTGTAACAAGGTTGATGAGGCCAGCAGACTCGCAACAAGTCTGATATCGTCTGCACGTAACAAGTTGTTAACAAGTTGATGGCAACAAGCTAGCCCGTAGCAACTTGTTACGAACAGCCTGTATTAGTCTTGTCGGAACAACTTGTAGCAAGTCTGTTACTGTCATCAATCTTGTGACAAGGTGATAACAAATTGTTCCAGACTTGTCACAACAACTGGGAACAAGCAGTGCGAACACATCCTGATGTCGGCTTGACAACAACCTTGTTACAACTTGTTTGCAGATCTATAACAATTTGCGTGTTTTTACGTATATAGCCCACACACACAAAAATCGTGTAGCCAGTCTGCCAACAAGCCGTCAACAAGTTGTGTTCGCACTGCTTGTCCCAAGTTGTCAACAAGTTTGGAACAAGCTGTTAACAACTTGTAACAACCTTGTTGATATCAGATTTGTTGCAAGGTTGTTTCAACAAGTCCGATGTAACAATATTGTTACAACCTTGTGTCGTCAACTTTGTGACATTCTTGTTATATCATGACTGTATCAGACTTGTTAGAACAACCTTGTAACAAGTCTGATAATGCCTCGCCACTACACACGTAAAAACGCATGAGTTGTTACAGGTCTGCAAACAAGTCGTTACCAGTCTGTTCACAAGCTGTCAACAAGTTGTGTTCGCACTGCTTGTTCCCAGTTGTTGTAACAAGTTTGGAACAAGCTGTTCACAACTTGTAACAAGCTTGATGACATTATCAGACTTGTGACAAGGTTGTTCTGACAAGTCTGATACATTCATGATATAACAAGAATGTTACAAGGTTGACGACACAAGGTTGTAACAATATTGTTATATCATGACTGTATCGGACTTGTTGGAACAACCTTGTAACAAGTCTGGTAGCATCAACAAGGTTGTTACAAATTGTTAACAGTTTGTTCCAAACTTGTTGACAACTTGGGACAAGCAGTGCGAACACAACTTGTTGACGGCTTGTTGACAGACTAGTTACATGATGTGAGATTTTTACGCGTACACACGTAAAAACGCACAAGTTGTAACAAACCTGCAGTAGACTTGTAGCAATGCTGTTCCAACAACTTGTCAACAGGATGTGTTCGCACTGCTTGTTCCCAGCTTGTTGACAAGTTGTCAACAGCTTGTTCAAACTTGCTACAAGATTGTTGACTCGACAGACTTGTTACAAGTTGTTCCAACAACTTATTATCGTCCTGCAATTCAACAATTTGTCAACAAATCGTGAGTGACAACCTTGTAGCAACTTGACAAAATAACAGCATTGTCACAACTTGTTGACAAGCTTGCTACAAGGTTGTTGAGCTCAACAGACTTATTACAACTTACAAGTTGTTCCAACAACCGTTTACCACATTACTGATGCAACTAATTATTCAGTGGCGTATTTAACTACTATGGGCTCGGACCGGGAGAACCCGGGGGCTCCCAACCTCAATGGGCCAAATGGGGGCCCCCAGGCTCAGGCTGTAGAGCAAAAACATTGGCCAGGGCCTCTGATATGTTACAATGTCGTTTTATGACCATCAGAATTCTGTAAAATCTCTCTCCAACGTCCGGGAAATGGCATTTCAGATCAGAGACTCTAGATTGAGAAATTTTGCGGGTGAGCATGCCCTGGACCCCCTAAAAACTCGTGCATATACGGCGGTCGACTCGTGCCTTTGGCACTTCTACTAGGGGGCCTTCGAAAATTTTTGACCGGGCCGGGGGCCCCCTGATATAACGTTACGCCACTGTAATTATTGTTCGGGCGATATTCGGAAGGCAGTCGGAAAGTGCCGTGCAATGCATTTACCTGTCACGGCCGAAGTGCGTGCTGGGAGAGGCCTTCGTGAACATGGCGAGCCCAGAAGGTAAGCGAAATTTTATATTTGCAAAATACTTTATTTCTGTAGCTAAGTAAATGCAGTATTGTAAAAACTAAAGCTCTTCGAGGTCTTTCCAATTTATTTTTGTAATTGGAAGTATTTTATTGTGCTTTTGCAAAGGCTTGTCGCCCGCCTTCTTTGTGGTCAGTAAAAATGTTGCGGCTCTTTGAAGCAGCGGTCTTTTATGTTTCCAAAAATATTTCGCAAAAATATCGAAGGAAAAGCTATGTTTTCTTGCACGAAAAACCGCGGAAAAAACACGTTATATCGCTGAAAGTTATCTTAGGAGACAATTTTGGATGTTTCTTTATATAAAGACGTTCAAATATTGTTTTTAAAATGAACACGTTGTCCGCTTTGTGGCTTTGTGCTTAATGAAAGCTCGCGCTCTCGACGATGAAAGCGTTCAAAGGTTGCTAGAGCAAGGGACAGATGGTGGTATAAAATAGCCGAAGAACTTGCTTTTGAACACAGCATTTAGTTTATAGTTTGTTATAAGTTTTTGAGCGTTGAATATATGTATTAAAGTGTATCTTGTGGTGGATTTTCGAAATAATTTTAGTCGGGTTTTGCTGAAGGTTTTGAAATCAAAATGGCGTCGTGTTTTCAAAGTGTCAATCATTTTAAATGCGGGGAAATGCTTTTTGTTACTTGGGTTCTTGATGTTAGAACCACATATTAAACACTTACAGAAGACTTCTTGTCAGAAGTCTTCTTGAAGACTTCTTATCAGAAGTCTTTTTCTTGAAGACCTCTTTCAGACTGACTTCTTGTCGACACCTTCGATGTTACCATAACTGCCATCCATGTCTTGATTTGCTAGCATGGAATGTAATTGCCATGTGCCGGACATGTCTGGCGCACAACCAGCAATACAGCAATATATTTACTAGTATTTGGTGGGCATGTCCGGTGCACAAAATAGTCTCATTCCATACAGGATGATTTGCAACCGCAATGCTGTCACCATTTTCCTAGCCAGTGCATTGAAGAGAGGGTGTCATCCACTGAAAATGTTCAAAATGACTGGCTTGACTTAGACATTTAGGGGAGCAAGTGTCTCGTAAGCACACTGGTACTAAATTTGTCGGTACTAGCAGTCATGACAAGCTGAAATTTTTAGCCCACTCGGATAATATACAAAGCAAGCCTTTGCTCACCACTCAGCTCACAGTGCCCTTGAAGCTTCGATCTTCCATTCTTTGCATACTCGCTTCGCTCATCAATTAATAGCCTAGGCCTCAGTAGAGCAAAACAGTATTGGCCATACCCAAATTATTATTAGCCAGGACTTCAAACAGATACCTGAAGGGCTGGTAAGCCCGAACAGTCCAGTGTACGTAGTGACAATATTGACACGAGAATTCTGCGGATTAAGTGTGATTCAACTACCTGAAATATACAAGGATGTTGCACTTGCTGTATTAGAATCTTTCAGGGAATGAAACCATCTGTGGGAACATTGCATGAACATCAAATGCACCAATATACCAAGTTAGATGGCTTTATTACCTTTAGTACACATATGTACTCGATCCATTTATCTTTTGTGTCGGGCATCATTAACCCTAAGTGGCAATGAACTGCATTTTATTCTGCTGTCTAACACACAAGGCCGTCGGAAGTAAATCAATATTGGGGGTGCTCAAGAATCTGAATTGCTTTCACACTTTTCTAGTTCTTTTGTGTGTTTTGCTTATACAAATGGAAATTATTGGGGGGAGGCTCAAATTTCAGCTCACGGTGCTCTTAAGTTCAATTGTGACTGTCGATTCTGTTGATGCCAAGATGCACACAGTATAATTACAACACAATTAAAGTTTTAAATATAAACTTTGTCATATCTTTTAACCCATTAAGCTGCAGAGCTTCCCCATTCATGAGTAAAATCGTCTGGCGTTAGACAAGTAAAAAATAGTAGGGCGCACTGGGGCACATTGCGGCTCAATGGGTTAATTTGGTCTTATAAGTTATCTGGCCAGCAGTTGGCATAAGAAATTCAACAACTTAAATTCGAATGAAAAGTTTAATATGAAGAAATCCTTACAAACTAGCTAACATAATATTTAATGGCTCCACAACAGCACAAAATCAATCTCGTTCCCAGAGCCAAAATGTGGTCGTCGCTATGACCAGCGTCATACAAATTTGACCCGTCTTATTAAAAATTTGGCCATTGTTTTGAGCCCTGTGTTATTGTAATAACAGCATGTACAGTAGAAGGGTTTAGTGAGGGATTTTTGTGAAATTAGGATAGTTTGTAGCGTCAAACAGATGTGTAACTTGCCTGGGACAAGTGAATATCTTATCGATGACGGGCAAGTAAACGTTTTATCTTGCTTGCCCGATTGGGCAAGTTGCCTTGCCACAAAAAGCTGGGCATCTTCAAGTTTATGCTCTAGCTAGCTCATTGTCGGATAAATTTTTTATAGTGCAAATTGTACTTGATTTAAATTTTGTTTTTTGTGGGCCAACGCTAGATCTGAGACAGTATAACATAGCCATATAGAGCAGACTGGGAGAACAAGTTGACATGTTGTCCCCTTAATTTATACCCCCTACCTAGGTACCCCAGTGGCCATTGTCTGATGGCAAGTGAATTTTATTCAGGGCAACTAATTTTCATGTCCAACTTGCCCTGAGGGCAAGTGGTCAAAAAAGTAAAGTCACACCACTGTCAAATAAAAAAACTAAAAGAAACTATTGTGTTGAGGATTATCTCTGAGGCAACTGACTTGACAGGATGAACCCCTTCCCTCCCCCACCTCAGCCCTTGGAAAATCTTCGTTTGTTGCCACATGCAAAATCTTGAGGAGGCAATGACTTTATTTCCAGTTTCAAGTGCAAATGAAGTTCAAAGTTCAGATGAAGTTTGTGCAACAACCTCTACAGGTGAAAATGATCTTGTGTTAAACGAAGCAAGTTCTTCGAATGAGAATGTAAGTTTGATGATATAAATAAGCCTTTGGTATCAGTGAGCATGTTTGACAGATGTACTGCTCGCCTTTACCTTTGAGCCGCGATCAAGCCTGTTAGTCTACATGTCGAAGGCAGAGATTTACATGGGTTAGCTAATTTCTTTCTTTGAATATTTAGACTCTCAGAAAGTCTGGCAACTAAATTTGGCATTCTTAATTTTAACTTCCAATATTTACCAGAGAATCAGCTTAATTAAGTTCTCTAGAAATTTACCTGATATTACTCATGAACAAATATTGGGGGTGCCCCCCCCCCCCCTACACACACACTCACACCTGGTTTCTATGCCCCAGCATAGGCATACAGGGATGATGCTTTTTTTTGGGGGGGGGGAGCTGTTGAAAGTTTGCCCAAATTTGTATGGAGGAATTTTAATGAAATAACCTGAATTCAATATATTTTCTGATAAATCTGCCTGAATTTTCTTGATTTTTCCTAGCACTTGCCTGGATTTCCATTGTTTTCCAAATTTTTGGGAGGGGGGAGTTGCCCCCTGTCTCGTACGCCTATGATAGTTACACTTACAGTATGTTTTAGATGTCTAAAGATGACCAGGTCTCTCAGTCAAGTGAAATATCTCAAACAGACCAGAATCTGATCTCATCATCGGACGCAGTTCAACACGGTGACATCATGCTTGACCATCACACACAACCCCCCATGTCATCTGGTGATGCTATCGCTCATGAGATAGTTACGACCAGCGAGGATGGTAGTAACTCGCAAACATTGTATGTCGCCATTCAACCACCAGGAGGTAACCATGGCGATATGTCACATGACCAACCAGCAGTTTATCTGGAAGTTGTTGAATCTGGTAATCTGTCTGAACAGATAACAAGCGCTGGTCAGGTGTTGGAAGGACAAATGATTATACAACAAGGTACATACTATTGAAATACTAGTTGAGCACATGTTATACCAAATGAGGCAATTGGTGCAGTTTAGTATGCAGCCCTCAAAAACGTCACCAGCGCCTCTCCATAAACTCTTGACATGAAAAAGAATTGTTTACTTGTAGTTACCTTTTCAACAAGTGTTGACCAAATCTTGACTGGTTATGATTAACTTCATTTGCACTGGATAGTTCTGTCAGTTCTAAATGTAAACTATTCTCCCTAGAGGTCCAGTAAGAGCCATCCCTTATTGATCCAGTGTTACTACAGGAGGAAACCTAAACTAAACTAACTTTATTTATACTGGATAGCTCTATCAGTTTCTAAACTGTTCCCCCTAGAGGTCCAGTAAGGATCGTCCCTTATTGATCCAGTGTTACAGTACTACAGGAGGAAACCTCAACTAAACTAACTTTATTTATACTGGATAGCTCTGTCAGTTTCTAAACTGTTCCCCCTAGAGGTCCAGTAAGGATCATCTCTTTTTGATCCAGTGCTATACTACAGGAGGAAACGAGAGTACGAAAGACATGATTTTATTTCTT